TTTTTGTTTTCTTTGTATTAACTTTGAGACACCAGTCCTTACAGTATGTACTTAGTATATCGAGTTTTTCTTGTAGACCTTCAGCAGTTGGGGAGAGAAGTACCATGTCATCAGCATACATTAGGCAATGAATGGACATAGATGAATCATTGTTTAATTTTACAAAACTTTTAGAATTTGACAGATAATTTAATAGATCATTGAGATAAATCTTGAATAGGTTTGGGCTCATGTTATCACCTTGTCTAACCCCATTGTAAGTACGGAAGTGACCGATTAATTTGTTACCCAGTTTAATAGAAGAATAGCTTTTAGAATACATATCCTTAATAATTGAGTAAAATTTAGTGCTAATACCAGCTTTTAGTAGTTTAAGCTTCAGACCAGCATGGTTTATACTATTGAAGGCCTTATGAAAGTCAACAAAGCAAGCATATAGCTTCCCTTGTTTTGATTTGCAGTATTTTTCAACAAGTGTTTTCAAGACAAAAACATGATCTGAAGTTCTAACTTGTTTTGTAAATCCTATTTGACAAGGATTGATTTTATCATTGCATTTTAAATATTTATCTAATCTTGAGTTAAGAATATAGTTAAACAGTTTGCCAATTGAGCTGGTTATTGTGATTCCTCTATAATTGTTGGGATCATTAGTGTTGTTAGATTTGTATACTGGAGTAATGTATCCTTCACACCATGAAGAAGGATAATATCCATGAGTTAAGCAACCATTAAAGATTTTCTGTAATATTGGTACCAAGACCGTTTGACCATGTTTAAGCATTTCATTACATATTCTATCAGTACCAGCTGCCTTACCATTTTTTAGTTTACCTATTGCTTTACTTATTTCATTGAAAGATATTTTGTAGTCAAGTTCATTAAATATGGGTGTTGTTGTTTTCTCAGCTTGTTTTAGTTGGTCTTTAAGAAACTGATCTCGTTCGAGGAAGTCCTCGTGAGTTTTATTCAATTTTTTGAAGTGGTTTAACCACTCATTATTAGAGATTGATGTATCAATTGTCTTTGTATTTCCAGTTCTTAATTCGCCTATAAGTTTCCAATATTTTTTTGGATCAGTTGAATTTAAAGCATTTAGGTTGTTGATAATATTAGAATGGTATGTTCTAAATTTTTGTTTTCGTAGTTTGTTATATATTCTATATGCTTTGTAATATTGATTCTTAATATTGATATCTCTGGGGTAGTGGCCAAATAAAGTTCCCTTCCTAACTAGTTTTGAGCGCATATTTATCAACTCGTTATCAAACCATTTCTTTTTATATTTAGCAGATCGAGCTTTTATTACTTTTACATGTTTTATTTTTAGGTAAGTTTGGTTTTAATGACATAATGGCTGCAGCTTCCAGGGAATCTTTTAATCTATTTATTGTCGATTCTATAGATTCTATGTCATTGATGCTCATGGTGTTATCAAGATTGCATTTTATTTTGGGGGATTGTAATGCCTCTATAAATTTAATAGCAGAGTCTTCCCCCCACTTAAAGGATGAATGGGTCTTGTAATTATTATTATCTATACTATTTTCTCTATTAGAAGAATCGTGTTGAGAAAAAATATTCCATGATAACATACAGTGGCAGTCAGATAATGTGGAAATAAAATCTGATACTTCAAAAAACAAAATACGTTGTACAATTTCTTCATCAGTTAAAAGATAATCAACAACACTACTTCCATGATAATTATGGCAAGTGAAATTTCCAAAAATGTCACCAAAACATCTTCCGTTCATAATACGAAGTTGGTTTCCAATACAAAAATCTATTAGTTCTTTTCCTCTCTTATCCACACAAGTGTCTCTATTAACTCTTTTGAAAATATCATTATCAATTTTATATGTTTCAAATAAGGGTAAATATTGGTTGTTATCATCTAATATATAATCAGTTGCTTTTTCTGTTCTAGCATTAAAATCTCCACAAAGCATTATATTTCCTAAATCTTTATATTGATTAATATCCTTCTGTACAAGTTCCAGAATATTAACATTATTTCGTGTTATTGCAGGTGATCCCTCAGGGGGGTTGTAAACAGTACATATATACAAATCTTTATCAAAATTAAAAAAAGTTTTCTCTAATTTGATCCATTGATACTCACTACATGTATTTTTAATTACAGAAACATGATCTTTAATCTCATGCTTACATGTAATTAATATTGATATCCCTCCAAAGTATCTGCCATTTTTAGATATATTTCTACAAATTGTGTGGCAGTAAAAATCATCATGTAATACAACTGTATCTGGTCCAATGTGTGTTTCCACAAGAAATACTAAATCTTTATCTATAATTTTTGATAGAAAGAGCTCGTCATCCATTTTGTTCATACCTTTTGATATCAATCCTCCAATATTCCAAAAAGCACATTTAACATTTGTTTTTCTGTACATCTGATACATTCTAAGAAAAAAAAATACCAAATTTTCAAACCCAAATCAAGAGAAAAGGTACAACATCCTTCAAAACATATAATACAATGTATAATCTAGTAGTAACAATATGTGAGAAGAAAAAAAATAATAAATCAGTTGCAAATAAGCATGACATTCATGAGTACAAGTGCACCGATAAGTGGAAGTGGTACAATATTCGAGAATGAAATTCATACATTGAAATACCCGTTAAAATAATATAACATATAACATATATAACATAATAAAGGAATGCTTTTTAATTTATCAAAGTATCTGATCGTAACTACCTATACGTATAAATTCAACTTGGTAAGAAAAAAATTCAGTCTTTGAGGCATTGTTTAATTAGTCTGACATATATTCCCAGTACAGTACCGACCAGACCCAACCTGACACCAAAGCAGTCCCAGAAAGCAGTCCCCGGGACTGCTTTGGGACCGCTCTGGGACTGCTGTGGGACTGCTCTGGGACCGCTGTGGGACTGTTCTGGGACTGCCCTGGGACTGCTCTAAAAAGCAGACCCAGCAGTCCCAGCAGTCCCAGCTGTCCCTGGGACTGCTTTCTGGGACTGCTTTGTTCACTCATGCGTGAAAGAAGTTCTGAGTGACATGAGAGGTCCGCCCCCTTGTGTATTCTGAATTTGCAGGCTCCCACTTGTTTTGTTTACTAGCAGCAGAGAGGAGTTTAAACTATTAAAAAAGCAAGGATTTCTTATAATCCTTCTATAAGAAGAGATTATTATAGTATATATTTTCAGAGACTGTACATTTACACAAATATTTTTTTTTAAATAAGGAAATCAAAAGTAGATTTTTATCCCTAAAAATAGATTATAGGTCTATGAGAAAAAATATCTACATGTAGATCTATTTTATTATTTATTGTAAAATTATGTGCACTCAAAATTTGCATTGACACTATTTAAAAATAATCCTTATACAGTTAGATATCATATTTTTAATTGAAAAGCTTCATGTTTTACGAGCACCACTCTAGAAAAGTATCCCATGCAACCCTAAAATAAAGCCTAACAGTTTATTAAATGACCATGAAATAAAATCATGCTACTATTCTTCCATAACTCAAACAATTTGAATAATCATCGGGGAATTTATTAATGAATTACCGGTAGTTTTTAATTTATAAACAAGTTATCAAAAGAGAACATTTATTTTATGAATAAAGAGTTGAAAATACCGGGAATTGTGATTAATTTCTTTTTTCTTTTGCTTGTGTTTACATGTACCTGGCCGATTAATGTTTATTACTTGGTATCAACACCCGCGGCCATAGGGCAGAAAATCAGTGCATGCTATTTTGATATACCTATCAGCGTTTCACATCATTGAACATGCTGGTCAACAATGACCCTAATTTCCATCTACCGGTATATAATGCAGAAATAAAATTGATTACTAAAATGTGTTTGAATTTCTTTCAGGATTAATTAATTTTGAACATAATCTGATGGTTCCATTCTGGTGAATTAGATATGTGCATTCTAACATTTACAAATAAAATGCTTAAAACTGAGTATTAAAGAGACAGAGATATTAACAATAATTAGATTGACATGTCAGTAAAAATAATCATGACTGAAAAAAAATATTTGGCAAAATTAAAAAAGAATTTTCTAAAATCCCGCTAGTATGGAAATTGGCCATATAATGATGAGATCTATTTAAATCTAATTCTTAGTGGTGGAAAATAATTAATTCACGTTTAATTTTCTGTATAAAAAATAAATGGAACACAGTATAAATCACAGAAAATAAAGAAATTGAATTATTTATTTGATACACCCGATAATTGTGATTAATTTGTTCATGTTCAGTTTAATTCATACATGTACGTGTGAAACCCTTCTTCCTTCAATAAATAATCATTCAATTTGTTTCTTTGTGCGTACTGTTCATACATGTAAGGAGCCCCGGCATACTACCCAGAATCAATTTCTACTGCCTTTTATAGTTCCATTGTTTATTGCAAATCTTATTTCTGAGTTAGCTCCGCCCATTAAATTAATAAACCCCGCCCACTGGGACTACTGGGACTGCTTTCTGGGACTGCTGGGACTGCTCTCTGGGACCGCTGGGACCGCTCTGGGACTGCTGTGGGACTGCTCTGGGAGCGCTGTGGGACTGCTGTGGGACTGCTTTAGCAGTCCCAGAAAGCAGTCCCCGGGACTGCTCTGGGACTGCTTTGTGTCAGGTTGGGTCTGGTCGGTACTGTAACTTCAGGGAAGTTGTCAAACATTTTTCATAAAAAGCCCTTTGATATGCCTTTCTGCAAACTATACTGACTTAATAAAATAATTCATATATCCCAGAAGCCAAAAGAAGTTGTATTTTTCAATACAGCAAATAACTATTGACTTTGGTTAATTATTTGTTGTTTAAAGTCCCTCTCGAGAATTTTTCACTCATATGGAGATGCCACCACTTGCTGGTGGAGGGCTACAAATTTTGACATATTACTACAACCATAATGAGCAGTAAGAGATTTTACTGTGGCAGTACCTTCTGCGACATGACACCTTGGTTTATACGGTCTCATCTGAAGGACTGTTGCCATATCCCACAGTAGGATTCGAACCCATAATGTAATGATCAACTCCTTACTGTGGACTATAAAGCAGATAGCAGATGCTCTAACCACTGCCCCACACAGAAGAACAATTACTTTGACAGGAATGGATATTTATATTGATTGTATGATTTTTTTAATAATGTTTCTTTAAATAGGTAAAGATTGAGTGATTATTTTGGTATTTTGAAGATATTTTGCCACAGCAGTGGAAAGTGGCCACAGCTACAATGGATTTGAACTGAACACCACTGCCACCCAGTTTGTGGTGAACCTGACCCTTACTGACCGAGGACTTGAACAGTTTGAGGAAGTTCTACTGACAGTTTTCCAGTATGTACACTTACTGAAGAACAAAGGACCACAGAAGCAGTACTTTGATGAGATGAAGATAGTGGAGGAAACCAAATTTAGATTTAAAGAAAAGGTAGATGTTTTAGACAGGTAGAGAGAGAGTAGGTATTGTAGTAAGGTAATAAATAGATAGGAGTTTTAGTCAGGTAATGAACAGATGCTTATTCATAAAAAAAAAGTCTTAAAGGAAGAGTTTTAACAAGATAAACAAAAAATTAGATGTATAGTCAGTTCAAGTCATGACTGATGTTTTAAGTAAAGAAAGGTAAGTGTTTTAGTTTTGTAAAAAAAAAATGTTTGCAGTACTCAAGATCTATTGAGGAATACAAATATGTCCCATTTTACTCCAGTTTTTTTGAAAATATTTTACTCCAGTTTTATGAAAATATTTTGTTATGGTTTAGGGAGATGCAATGGATTATGTGGAGAAAGTCTCAGAAAACATGCAGATATTTTCCCCAGAAGATGTTTTAACTGGCAGAGATTTAATGTATGAGTATGACCCAGAGGTAGGTCTAGTGTAAAATATCAATAACTTGATGAAATCCAATAAATGTTAAGAATTTAATTTTGAGGGTTTTAAAATTTTTCAGTCGATTGTTAAGTGTCTGGCAGATCTAAGGGCAGACAACTGTTGTATTTTCCTGTCATCCAAACAATTATCAGATAAATGTGACAGACAGGATATAAAATGGAGCCCTGTAAAGTATGGAGTGGCAGAAATCAAACCGGAGTGGATTCAAAGATGGCAAGGTGGTATTTCAGAGTATGAATGCACTGTTTACTAATTTCATAAAACCAATAGACTACATAGAAACAAAAGAAATGAATTTTTATTTAAATCAGTTTGACCTAGATTTCATTAAGTCATGAGCCTTAAATCTTTGTTCACTTAAGGCAAGATTTAAAACTAAATCTTAATGGTTATATGCATTTTCTTTCAGACCCACCTAAAAATCCTGACCTTTGCTTACCAAAACCAAACAAATCAATAGGTATGTAATATGTAATGATGAGGTTATATTGTAAATCATGTTATTCTCAGTATTTAAAATTAGAACTCGAATTCATATTTACACGAGGCTTGGATATCAGGTTACTAAAGAATATACATTAGATATCTTGTATATTCCTGTGTGTGTTAATTTGTTCAATCTATTTTACAGCTACAGATTTCACATTAGCAGAGGTGGAAGCAAAGTACTGTACAAAGGTGGGACTTGTTTCATGGCTTATTTTATTGTTCAAAATTTAAAATAAACTGTTGATTCAAATTAATATGTGTGATTATTCTTGTACAATGTTCATGTATATAATGTATAATTGGAAGGTTTTCTCAATTCAGCATCCTATCACTCTCTCGGAAAATGAGTTGTGTACATTGTACTACAAGAAGGATATGAAATTCAAAGTGCCAAAAGGTAAATGGTTCACTCCTAAAAAAGAGAGAGATTCCGATAATGCATCACAATTCTAAATTAACCAATTTCAATATCTTATAGAAATAAGTATTTTACATTTTGTATAATTATGGCTAAAGCTTCATGGCTTACAACTAAAAAAATCTTTTGTAGCCTATGTGTGTGTTCAGTTGATGTCACCTGTAGCCAGCCAATCAGTGAAGAGGTAAGAATAACTTATCTGTGCTTTCAGTTGATGTCACTAGTAACTAGCCAATCAATGAAGAGGTTATAATAGCTTATGTGTATGTTCAGTTGATGTCACCAGTGGCCAACCAATCAGTGAAGAGTTAAAAATACCCCAATTTTGCTGAATATTTTACATACTGTACGTATAGACAAGTGTGATGAGTAATTGTATTAATGGTATTTTGCAGCCAAGGTCTGCTGAAAATATTTGAGGCTGTGATGAACCATAAATTGGATGCCCCTACATATCCTGCTATCATGGCTGGCTTTGAGTAAGTTATTTCCTGATTCTGATCTTGAGGATTTGTTCCAGTACTACATCCATTGTCATAAAACATATATCTGTGTATCATAGTTGACTAATTCTTTTTATGCCCCAGTAAACGAAGTTTTGGGGGTATATAGTTTTTGTCGTGTCCGTCTGTCTGTCACTCTGTCTCTCTGTTTGTCAGCAAAAACTTTAACCTTGTCCATAACTTTTGATTTAGAGGAGCTATGACTTTCATATTTCACATGTGTATTTCTTGTGACAAGACCTTACTTTGGGTACCACCAAATTTGACCTTTTGACCTTGACTTTGGAGTTTGACCCACTTTTACATGAAAATTTTAAAATTTTACTTTGGCCATATCTTTTGAACAGTAGACACCAGGACATTTATACTTCACATATGTAATGTTTGTTGAAAGACCTTTCACTGGATACCAACAACCTTGACCTTTTGACCTTGACCTTGTAGATTTCCGTACTTGTGAAAAAACTTTAACCTTGCCCATAATTTTTGAATGGTAAGGGTTAGGGCTTTCATGTTATCCTTGTGAGAAAACCTTTCATTGGATACCAAGAACTTTGACCCTTTGTCCTTGACCTTTGAGATTAACCTACTTTAAAAAAGCAAACCTTGACTCTTACTTTTAAAGATTAGGGCTAGTGCTTTCATACTTTACATATTTGATCTTTATGACAAGACCTTTCATTTGATAACAATAACTTTGACCCTTTGACCTTGACCTTGGAGTTTGACCTACTTTTTAAGAAATTGTACGTTGACCATAACTTTTGAACAGTAGACACCAGGACATTTATACTTCACATATGTAATGTTTGTTGAAAGACCTTTCACTGGATACCAACAACCGTGACCCTTTGACCTTGACCTTGTAGATTTCCTTCCTTGTGAAAAAACTTAAACCTTGGCCATAACTTTTGAACGGTAAGGGATAGGGCTTTCACACTTCATATGCGTAATCCTTGTGAGAAGACCCTTTATTGGATACCAAGAATTTTTACCCTTTGACCTTGACCTTTGATATTGGCCTACTTTAAAAAATGCACACTTTGACCATAACTTTTAAATAGTTAGGGCTAATGCTTTCATACTTTACATATTAAACTCTTGTGACAAGACCTTTCATTTGATAACAAGAACTTTGACCCTATGACCTTGACCTTGGAGTTTGACCTACTTTTAAAAAGAATTAGCCTTGGCCATAACTTCTGAAGGGGTAAGGGCTATTGCTTCCATACTCTCCATAAGTATTCTATGTTGCAAGAGCTTTCATTTGATACCAATTACATTGACCTTTTTACCTTGACATTGGAGATTTTTGTACCTATTGAAAAAATGAAACATTGGCTTATTTTCAAAGAACTTTATTCGGTAATAACCAATATTTGCCCCCCAAATCAAACTTTGATGGAGGTATATTTAATTAAGTTCTTAAACAGGGGAGTATATGCTGACTTCAAAGCACTGAATATTTTCATAAGTAATCACGTCATATGTACTTAATGACTTCACAAACATGACGTAAATTTCGGTTTTTAATGAATTCTACAGAAAAATGTACATATTTCGTCGATATTTTGAGTAAAAGTCACTGAGCGCATGTGTGTTCAGGATCAATATTTTGATATAATGTGTAGAATGATAGTATCAAAAAAATATGTAAATATAAATCCTGAACAAACATGCGCTCTATAAATTTAAAAGCTAAAACTGTTGAAATTTTGTCCATTTTGTCCTCTTTCTGAAAAAATTTCTAAAATTGGACTAGTTTGTGACGTCATAAAAACAAAAATTGTGAATAAACTGCTTTGAAACTATAATATGTTCTGTTAATTTATATTTCTCATACAATTTATTGAATTCAGCACATTTCATGAAGTTTTCAAAATGTAACTTTTGTTACTTCACAATTGTTTTCCAGTGAGAATAACCAATACTTTTGTTACCAATGAATTAAATTACCATTTAAGAAAAGCTGAATCTTTACTATGTTGCCATACGGGGGCAACTGTGTTTCACAAAGTTTAACACATCTTGTTCTGATTAAAATTGTTTAAATTTTCAGCTACTCAATCACTGTGGATGATACAGGTCTTAAATTCAAAGTGAATGGATTCAACCAGAAATTACCTGTAAGAATTCTTTTCAAGCTGTGAAATTCTTTTTTGTTTTATAATCTCCTTTTGTGGATGGAGGCCCCTATGGGAAAATTTTTTAATACCTTGGCCCTGATGTAAAGTGTTGCTGAATCTAAGAGGCCTGTATTGGTTTGTTACTGGTTTGTAGGAGCTGTTTGATCTACTTTTGACGGCTGTTTTTGACTACACCTGTAATGATGAGTTGTTTCCAATCATGAGAAATAAAGTGAAGAGGGAGATTTTTAATGCCATTATCAAACCAGCTGAGCTTGTCAGGCAAGGATATCTAAGTTGATTAGAAATCGCTGTTGGTTCCAAGGAAATCATCATTTTAGCCATAAT